TACGCTCTCGTTTTAAATGTGGTATTTCACCTAACCCTCCCTCCCAGTCACTGTCAGAAGTGAGGATGCCCATTTCACAGACTAGAAAGCTGAGGCACAGAGAAAGGGATGTCCTTGCCCAAGGCTGCACGGCAAGCAAGAGACACAGCCGGGATGTGACCCTAGAGATTTTCTAACTCCGGGCTGTTGAAATTAAGAACACAGCCCACCAGGCCGGCTGGGGGCTGAGAGGGGAAAGGAACCCGAGATACAGGGAATCCCCAAACTCACAGGCCCGAAGGTATCAGGCAGCAGGTGCACAAAGAAGGGCGTGGTCAGTGGCTGTGGGTGGCGACAAACTCACTGCGACACCCATCAGACGGCCTGTGCTGAATCCCACGGGCAGGGGGGAGCCAGAGAGGGTTAAGGAGCAGCAGAGTGACTTGGTTAGAGATGGGCATTAGGAAGAGTTGCTCCCGCAATGGGACTGGTATGGGTACAAGACAAGAAAGATCCGGGGCTAAGAGACTGTGGCCTTAGGGACGGGAAGTGAGAGGTGACGGACCCGTGTTTGTTTGCCCTTATCTGGAAGTAGCATGTCCTTCCCGCCCCCCTCGCCGCAGCCAAACACACACACACTGTCCACTCTTCCCTTAAGAAGCCACCCTCCCCGAGTCCGGCTGCTGGTTCAGGTGGGGCTGCCACCCACCCACCTCCGACTCCAGGAGTGGGCACTGAGCCAGGCCATGCCAGCCAGTGACTGGTCCAGGATGGACACATGAACCCAGCCAGGGCAAGGAAAGTGTGTCGGTCTGGAAACTTCCGCTGAAGTCATGGGCAAGGGGTCTCTCCCCTCCCCCCACAGGGAGGGCTCCACCCAAGGCCCGCAAGCCGGTGGCCAGGTGTATCAAGGAGAGCCTGTCCTCCCGTCCCCAAGGAGGACAATAAAGGAGAAAGGCAGAGCTCGGGGATCCGCAGGGGGTGGGGAGGTTGAGTCTGGACAGCCTTCCCCGGACTCTCTAACCATGGAAGCTACAGACTGACTTTGCTTAAGCTGATCTGCATGAGGTTCCCCCTCTGCACCTGCGAGCTCGCGGACATCTCACACGGACTGAGGTGTGAGGCAAGAAGCCAAGAGCTGAGGGGGTAGAGTGGGGGGGGGGGGGCAGGTGCATCTAGCACCGGAGGAGCCAGCACAGAGCACAGGGAGCTCCGAGCCCCGCCAGCAGAAGCAGGAAGGAGCGACCTTCCAGAAAACAGCTGCAGCGAAGGAGAAGCCAGGCCTGGGGGCGAGGAGAGAAGAGAGAGAGAAGTCGGACAGGCAGGAAGGCAGCAGCCAGAGGGCAAAGGGCCGGGAAAGAAGGGGTGGTTCGGAGAAAATGCCAGAAGAGGGCTGTCAGGGGGGAGAGAAAGCCCAGGAGGAAACGCCCCGCCCCCTCCGTGTGCTCCAGCACCTTTGCAGGGAGAGATCAAGGGCCGGTTCCGGCTTCTAAGTCCTCTTTGCACCTTGTTAGATGTTTGGAAAGAGGAAGGCTGGGCCAGAGTGAGAGCCTGTCCTCACGGCAGGGGCCCCTCGGGCTCACGGGACACCTGCCTGGGAACTGGGGCCACAGGGAGCCCTCCCTGCATCACGTAAGTGATGTACCCTGCACACAGCTGCGTGTGGCCTGACGGAACCGAAGCCTCAGGGCTCGAGAATGAGAATCTAGACCACTTCCAGGGCACCTGGCCGGCTCTGTCGGAAGAGTGCGCAACCCTTGATCTCGGGGCCGTGAGTTCAAGCCCCACATGGGGTGTAGAGATTACTTAAATAAATAAAGCTTAGAAAATAAATCTAAACCCACTTCCTTAGAGAGATGAGGCTAGAACCTTGAGACTTTGAGCCGGCCGGCCTGGGTTCAAGTGCCAGCTCTGCCACGTCCCAACTCCGTGAGGGCGGGAAGTCACTCAACTGCGCTGGGCCTTGGCATACAGGACTATCTCAGTCACGGGGACCAGGCATGCCAGGTGCAGCGACTTGCGTACAGAAAGCGACCAGTGGGTGTTCTGAGTCCTTTGTCGCTGGGTCATGAGGACACGGCCGCAGTTTTCTGAAAGGAACGCGCGCGCACACGGCAGTCGTAGCTCATCTATACATTTGTCCAACAGATGGCTGGGGACGGCAGGCAGATTTCCAGCCAAAGCAGACGGAGCCCTCGGATCCCACAGCCCATTCATAACATCAACGAGCAGCAGGGAAAAGCATTTTTAGTTCCCCCGCCAGGCACTCCCTTCTCCCATCCCCACCATTGGGGGAAGACGCACAGTAAAACCCTTGCAAGGCCCAGGGGAGGAAGGAAGTGTTGTCTGACCACACCAAGCCCTTCCGTGAGCATCTGTTCAGAGTCTATTCTATTGATAGGATGCTCTTTCATCCCTGGGTCACCTTCTCCTACTTGCCGGAGAGAACAATAGCTTCAAAAGCAAGACCCAGTCTGATGGGGGGAGGGGGGAGGTGATGGATGGTCAAAGGGAGGAAAGAAACTGTCAGTTGTCTGTTCCTGAGTTCAGCGACAGGAGAAGCTGGCCTGTCAAAGCCTCAGCTCCCACAAGGCGGAAAAAAAAAAAACCTACTGAATCTTCTAGTTGTTCACCAGATTGGGGAAAGGCCAAGAGTTTGTACTTACTCGACTTGCAAAAGCGTTCACCACAGCGGAGGAAGGGTAGGGGTGGTAGAGAGACAGGGGCCTGGGTTCAAATCCTGACCCACCGACTCTCCGAAAGAGGCCCTAGGTGCCTTATTCAATGTGAGCTGTAACAGCATTTGACACCTCTGATATTATAGGTTTTATTTTTAAGTAATCTGTACACCCGACATGGGGCTTGAACTCAGGGCCCCAAGAGCAAGTCTCGCATAAGGGGGCCCTATGCATCTGATATTTTAAATCAACCCTTTACTTGGGGAGCCTGGGTGGCGAAGTCGGTTGAGCGTCCGACTCGGCTCGAGTCGTGATCTCATTGTTGGTGAGTTTGAGCCCCGCATCAGGCTCTGTGCTGACAGTTCAGAGCCTGGAACCTCCTTCAGATTCTGTGTCTCCTTCTCTCTGTTGGTGCTCTGTCTGTCTCTCTCTCAAAAATAAACAAACATTTTAGGGGCGCCCAGGTGGCTCAGTTGGTTGAGCGTCCGACTTCGGCTCAGGTCAGAATCACACAGTTTGTGGGTTTGAGCCCCGCGTCGGGCTCTGTGCTGACAGCTCAGAGCCTGGAGCCTGTTTCAGATTCTGTGTCTCCCTCTCTCTCTGACCCTCCCCCACTCATGCTCTGCCTCTCTCTGTCTCAAAAAATAAATAAAACCAAAAAAATATTAAAAATAAACAAACATTTTAAAAATTTTTTAAAAAATAGAAAATAAACCAACCCGGGGTGCCTGGGTGGCTTCGTCAGTTAAGTGTCCGACTTTCGCTTAGGTCACGATATCGCGGTTCGTGGGTTCGAGCCCCGCGTTGGGCTCTGTGCTGACTGCCAGCTCGGAGCCTGGAGCCTGTTTCAGTCTGTGACTCCCTCTCTCTCTGACCCTCCCCTGCTCAAGCTATCTCTCTCTCTCTCTCTCCTAGAAATAAATAAAACATTAAAAAAAAATAAAAGAAAGAAAAGAAACCAACCCTTTACAAAAGCAGTGGATGGATGGATATCTAGAGGTAACACTCAGGGAGGCCTTTTAATTGGGAGATCGTTAAAAAACAAAAACAAAAGCAAACCTTAGGGCCACCCAGCCCATAGCAGGCACTTCATAAACATTGCTTCAATTAAACTAAATGCAAAATAGCGTTTGGTTAGGGAAACGGTTAAGGAGAGGCGTGGTCATGTGATCTCGTGGCACAATGCTATACTTTTTATTCATTTCACAAAGGACTGTGCAGTTTCGTATAGGCACTGCCCTGAGCATTTTAGACACGTTGACTCAGTTATTCTCACAACAGTCCTCGAAGACTCCAGGTAAGGAAACCAGGGCCCCGAGAGGTTAAGTAACTTGCCCCCAATCACACAGCCAGGAAGTGGCCACTGGGTGATTCAAACCCACTCTGCTGGCCCGGGGTTCCTGCTCTGACCTACAAGCCAGGCTGTCTTTGTTTGCACATCTGTTTCAAAGAGAGCGACCAGAGATCGGGAAAGGGTTCATTGTCCAGTCTCAGCTGTTGAGGGTCCTCGTCCCAAAGAGGCTGAGCCTTCTGCCTCTACTGAGGGGTCGGTGGTTTTTGACACCACGCGTTCTTTTTTTTCAATGGTTTAACACACCCCCAGGGAAGTGCGCAAAGTTTACAGATCACCAGCATTTTTGCTCAATGCTTTCTTACATATGCACACACCTGTGTAATCACCTCCCCGATGGAAATACGAGACTTGTCCAACAGCCCCCAGCCTTCCGTGTGGCCCCCAGTCAGTGACTATCTACCCCAAAATGTGACCACTCTTCTGACTTTTCCCACCACAGATTAGATTTGCCTTTTCTACAATTTCACGTAAATGAGATTGTACTCATCATAGATGGTGTGTACCCTGTCGTATCTGGCTCTGTTTTCTCCAAATGAAAAACACACATATAACCAAAACGCTGACAATGATCTTGAGAGAAGGGAGGAGAGAGCTGCTAGTTTCTTTCTCCTGCGATAACTTCCAGATTGTTCTTATGTTGGCTCACTGACTGATGAAAGGGGAAGGTGGAAAGAGCCGAAGGCGACTTTGGAACCACCACACTGAGTTGGCCCCTGGAAAAGCAGTGACCCGCAGGGGGCAAAGGAGCCCTCTCTTCTGGAGAGGGTACTGTAGAAGCAAAGGAGACGGGGAGCCACCCCTAGCTGGTCTGGATGTCCAAAGAGGAGCACGTTTCACCAGGCTTTAAAAATCTCAAGTCGGGTTCCTCCAGCCCAGAGGCGCAGTGGGGGGTGGCCAGGCTCCTCCCAGCTCGGCCTCCGTGGCTCCTCTTCCCCGCGTGGACCATTTCCCAAAAGATCAGCAATTCCCCCCGAAGGCGCGTCCCCTACCTGTGCACTGCTGGATGAAGTCCTGATACTCTGCGCCCTGCTCGCCGGGGACAATGGTGGAGCCGTCGTATTTAAAAGTCACCCTTTGGGTTGGGAGAAGAAAACACACACACACACACACACACATGAGCGATGGTGGCAGCGAGGTGCCCAGCTTGCAGCAGGACAATCTAAAAGATGCTCTGGGTAGGGAGGAACCAGCGCTGGCTTTCCACGCTGTCCCGGGTTAAGGCTGCGGGAGGCAGCACGGGAGGACCCTCCACGCGTCCCGGCTTGGTGCACCAGGCCCCCTCGCGAGCTCGGGGAGCGGGGCGTGGAGAGCAATGGAAAGTTCCTCACCAGATGACGGCCGAGCAGTCGTCGCGCACCAGGTTGTACGCCGCCCGGCAAGCCTCTTTGTCGATCTTGGTGGCCATCGCCGCAGGGCCGCAGCGGGGACACTCTGCCCGGAGCGACCGAGCGCGCCCCGCGCCGGCCGCAGGGATCGGAGCGCGGCGGGGACGCGCGGAGGGCGGGCGGCGGCGGCGGCGGCGGCGGCGGCGGCGGCGGCGGCGGCGGCGCGGGCTGCGGGCTGCGGGCTGCGAGCTGCGAGCGCGGCGGCGGCTCCGAGGGCGCACGGGGCGCGCGCCGGGATCCAGGCCGCGCCGCCACGCCCCCCTCCGGCCATTGGCCGCTGGGCCGCGGGGGCGGGGCGTCTTGATTCGCCTACGACCAATCCCAGTCCGGGCGGGTTGCGCAACTCCGGGCGGGGGCTGGAGGAGGGGCTTTCTGCTCCTCCCTCCCCCTTCTCCCTCCCAAGCCCCGGGCCGTGCTTTCACTACCCCCTGCATCTCCCCCCACCCCGCTTCCTCCTCCCCAGCCCCTCTTTCTCCCTCCCCTCACCCTTCCGTATTCCCTCTCCCTTCTCCCTCCTCCCCTTCCTTGTGGGAGCCCTCCGCATTCCCTCCCTGCTGCTCTCCTCCCCTCCCCCTCCTCGCTCCTCCCACTTCCCAACCCCCCTCCTCTCTTACCTCCGCTCCCTTCCTTTCTTCCCCTTCTCTCTTCCTTTTTAACTCTCCCCATTATCTGCACCATCTGCCCCTTCTTCCTTTTCTCTCCTCTTCCTCCCTTCCCCCTCCTCCCTTCTCTTCCCTCCCACTCCTTGCCTCTCTCTCCTCCCCTCCCCTCCCCCACCCCCAGGCTGCAGAGCTGCAGACCTCCTGGCCTCCAAAGGGGACCTCCCAGTGGGTGACTGAATGGAGCCGGCCAAAGGGACTGACCCCACCCCGCGATCGGCTCTTTGGTTTCTAGGTGCGGAGGGACTGGAAGGAACCAGGCCCCTCAAATAGGAGGGGATAGAAAGTGGATGGCTTCCAACACGCGGATGGGATCACTGTTTACTTTGTGTTCTGGTTATTTGTATTCTGGTTATCTCCCTCCTTTGGGTTCCTCTGAGTTGAAGAGCTGACTCATTCGGTCTTCCTCACTCCCTCGCTGACTCACTCATTCATTCCTCACCCTGCCATTCCACAAAGACGAGTAACAGTGTTAAAGCAGGTAAAAAGGCCAGACTCTGGGGACTGAGCTTTTGAATTGCAAACGGCACTGCCACTTTCTAACTGTGGACCGTCAGGCAAGCCTCAAAAAGTCTGAGATTACATTCCCTAATTGGGATGATAACAGTACTAGCATCGTAGGTTTGTCTGTCGTTTAACTGAAATATACATGTAAGCAAACATGTTAGACGGTGCATAAAAGGTCATTTGGGTTGGTTATTAAGTAGTTAAAATAAATCCTAAATAGAAACCTAAAAAGTCAGGGACAATGTCCAATTAACAATAAAATTCTCAGTGGCAAACAAAAAGAATCAATCAGTGGGTGGGTAAATGGGTGGGTGGTGGGATCACATTTTGAGAAAAAAAAGAGAACGTGTTGCTCTAAAAAGAAAAACAAATTCCAGGTTGGGGCAGCCCAAAGCAGTTCCTATCTTACTCCTTGATAAAGGTAATGATACAATTGACCACTGGAAAGAAACTCAAAGGTGGATCCACGCCTCACATGATTGATTGGGAATAATCCAATTTTTCTTGGGAAGAAGTATTGGATTGGGAAAGGTCTTTCAGGCATGGCTTAAAATCCAGAAGCTAAAACAAAACAACGATACATTCATATATGTATAAAAATCTCCTTCAGGGAACAACATCAACACATAGTGCCTCATGCAAAGTGTCAAAACGACAGACAGAGCAGTGAAAAGTACGGATATATAAAGAAGCCCAGCTCAACAGAAACAAAAACAAAAACAGGCACAGGCCACGACCAGAGAGATCAAATGGCTCTCAAACTCATGCCCTGTTTCAGCCCAAATTAAGGCAGGGCAGGGATCTCTTCAAAATAAATGCACAGGTCGGCAGAGATCAAAGTTTGACAAGCCTGCTTTGTGGGGGGAGGCTAGGAAGACCCGCGCCCTGTCACGCTGGTGGGAGTGCCCGTGGGCGTACCCCGCAACAGAGGCCAATTGGCAACATCCATCAGATTTAGAAGTCTATGTGCTCTTGACCAACCACGTTCCCCCAGAGATCAGTGGTGCACAGGGCTAGCTGGACCCTGGAGTTACCATGATTTCCTGGCTCTACACTCAGAGATTCTGATGCAGCTGATCTGAAGTTCAGCCCAGGGGGCCAGGATGTTCAAAGTCCCCTCTAGATGATTCTCCTGTGCAGGTGCAGCCACACCCGCTGCTACAGACATGGGCACATGTGTGTAAATCTGTTCAAGGTTATTCACTGCTTTATTTCCTGTAGCAAGAATTAGGAGTAACCTGTATATCCATCGATAGGGGACTGGATGAATAGATTATGACAAAGGTCGGCCAAGGAGGACCGTGGCAGGGGTGGGGTGAGACCTTCACTGTGGTCTGATATGGAACATTCTACCGGATACATCATGAGCACACAAAGCAAGGTCGAGAGCAGTATGTTCAGCACGCCCTTTGGTGTTGCTACCTCGTGGGGTAAAGTTGGGGATGTAAATAGATGTTTCTGTTTGTTTAGACATGCTTAAAAGCCTTTGGGAGAGCACACAAGAGAAAAATAAGTCATATCCATGGTGGAAATGAGTGGGGAGCCAGACACAGGCGGAAAGGGATAGAAGGGAGATTTCACCATATGCCATTGCATTTAGTCTATTCTATTCCTGAACCATCTGAATGCATTTATCTTTTCGGAGTATCTTAAATACCCCCTCCCCCACTCCCCACAAAAGTGGTTCCCATCCTGACAATGACCCCATGGGCTCCGCGTCGCTGTATGAAGCACGTTGACTGTATTTCACCTTTAACTATTGTTCTCCTTCTATTCGTTGTTACTGTCGCCCCCTATCGGACGGAAAGTGTAAAGGGCTGGTGTTCAAGGGAACCCGGATTTTGAGCCCCCTTGGGGTCCACGTGGCCCAGCCAAGGCGGCAAAGCAAACCGCACACGGGAACTAAACACTGTGTCAGTATTTGTTTAAAGTGAAATCCGCACCATATTCACAGCAATCTAATTCATGTTTCTCTAGAAATCAAATACACGTTTGATACTTTGTGTGATGTACTGTGTCAGGAATTGAGGGGGGGGTATAAATTCATTCATTCATTCATTCATTCCTGGCACTGGGCCTATTACGGTTAGGAAGGGATCACAAACTCACTCGCCTGTAGGGGGCAGGCGCGTAATGTAAATGAGCTAAGGTTTCCAGCAATCTGCAAGGAAAATTTTTCTGCAAAAGGTGATTGTCTCTGTTGCGCCCGCCTCTGGTTGTCAGTGTCTTCTTCAGCGCTGACCTCCGAAGGGGGCCACCGCTCTGCCCTCACTGCCATTCCCACTCAGGGACCCTTGGCCTGGCGGTGCCCCGCCTTCCAATTGTCCAGGGAAAGCAACATACCCGGATCTCTCTGTGAAAGCTCTAGACTCTTGCACTTTGGCAATAAAGACGTCCCCTCTAAGAGTTGCCTGCGTGCAGACTTGAGCTAGACAAATACTCTCGCGGCCCCCATGGGGCTTGCAAGGGAGGGAGTAGTTTTGCGGTGAACGCTGTTGGTTGTTAACAATAGAAAATTCTACTCAAATAGACTCCACGGTGGAGGACGAGTAATGGCTCAGTGACTGAAGGTGTGTCATGATCAGGGGTTGCCTCCGTTTTTCTGAACGTTTAGCTATTCTTTGCACATCGGTTTCAACTTCAGGCAAATTCTGCCCCTCTGCCCGGCACAGCCCACCCCAAGTGCTGCGGCTGACCTCTCATTCAGACCTCAAGTGTTCCCCTCAGAGAGGCCTTCCCCAGCACCCCGAGAGAAAGAGCCCCTTCTAGAACGTGCTCTGGTCACTCTCTATCACATAACCTCCTTTCGTTTTCCATGGCACTAATCACTGTCTGAAATCGTCCTTTTCGTTGATCTCTTGACTTTCATGTTGCCCATCCGCTCCCAGAAGAATGTGGGGGCTGTGGGGGCGGGGACAGCGCCCATCTCATTGACCATTGGATGCCCATGTCTAAGCACATCTCCAATTCCCCAACTCCAGACAGACACACAGTTCGCTGTCGTTGAATGGATGGAAGGAGAGAGAAGTCAAGGAAGAAGATATTGCGTAAGGATAGACATATAGATCAAGGGAATACCATTGAGAGTCCAGAAATAGGGGCGCCTGGGTGGCTTAGTCGGTTGAGCGTCCGACTTTCGCTTAGGTCATGATCTCGCGGTTCGTGGGTTCGAGCCCCGCGTCGGGCTCTGTGCTGACTGCCAGCTCAGAGCCTGGAGCCTGTTTCAGTCTGTGACTCCCTCTCTCTCTGACCCTCCCCTGCTCACGCTGTCTCTCTTTTCTAGAAATAAATAAAACATTAAAAAAAAAAGAGAGAGAGTCCAGAAATAAACTCTTTTACGTTTATTGTCAAATGATTTTCAACAAGGGTGCCGACATCATTTCATTAGGAAACGCTGGTCCTTTTGACAACTGGCGCTGGAACGGCTGAATAGCAACTGGAAAAGAATGAAGCCAGACCCTTACCTCATACCATATGCAAAAGATGACTCAAAATGGATCTTCTAAGACCTGCTCTTAGAAGGAAACATAGGCATACATCTTCATGACCTTGGATTCAGCAAATCTTTCTTAGCTGTGATGCAAAAAGCAGAAGCAACAAAAGAAAAATTAGATAAACTGGACTCACAAAATAAAAAATAATTTGTGATTCAGAAGCATGATCAAGAAAGCGAAAATAATGCAGAGGATGGGAGATAGTACATGCAAATCATAGATCTGATAAGGCTCTACTATCCAGGATATATAAAGAACCCTTACAACTCAAACAAACAAACAGACAAAGACAAGTAGCCCAATTTAAAAATAGGAAGAGAGGGACACTTGGGTGGCTCAGTCAGTTAAGCGTCCCACTCTTGATTTCGGCTCAGATCATGATCTCACAGTGACAGAATCGAGTCCCAAGTCAGACTCTGTCGTGTATTTATTAATCAGTTGATGGACATTCAGGTTTCTACTTCTTGGTTGCACAATTTGTGAATATATGAAAAATCACTGAATTGTACACTTAAAAATGTTTAATGAAGTTTAAAATTTTTTTAATGTATTTTAATTTATTTTTGACAGAGAGAGAGACAGACAGACAGAGTGTGAGCAGTGGAGGGGCAGAGAGAGACGGAAACGCAGAATCGGAAGCAGGCTCCAGGCTCTGAGGTGTCAGCGCAGAGCCGGACACGGGGCTTGAACTCGTGGACCGCAAGATCATGACCTGAGCCGAAGTCGGACGCTTAATGGACTGAGCCACCCAGGCGCCCCTGAAGTTCTTTAAAAGAGTCAAGGAAGGGGTGCCTGGTTGGCTATGGGTTGAGCGTCCAACTCTTGACTTTAGCTCAGGTCACGGTTCATGAGTTGGAGCCCCACATAGCTCTCTGTGCTGACAGCGTGGAGCCTGCTTGGGATTCTCTCACTCCCTCTCTCTCTCTATCCCTCTCCCACTCATGCTCTCAATCTCTCTCAAAATAAATAAATAAACTTTTTAAAAAATAATAAAAAAGCCTATGTCTCTCCCTCCCTTGCGTGCTCTCTCTCTCTCTCTTAAAAAAAAAAAAAAAAAAAAGGAATGAAGGAACATTCTTGGACTTGGGCCTGAATATCTGGGCGGGTGGAGGAAATGAGTCCAGTTTGGGACAGGTGGCATTTGAGCTGCCCATGGGACATCACCGTGGAGACATCCAGCAGCACCACAGGGCTGCAGCGGGACACAGAGTGGGTGGGAGATGCAGATCTGGAAGATGTGGGGGTGATCAGGCCAGGGATGTGGGAGATGAGCCCGCGTGCTGAGGTAGAAGAAGAAGGTCTATGATCCCCAGCACTCAAGGGAAAAAGAGTCAGTGAAGTAGACTGAGAAGGGTTTTCCAGAGGGAGAAAGGAGCCCAGGAGACGTGGCATTTCAGGAAAAGGGGCGTGACCAGCAATTGACAAGCTAGGACCCACCCCTGTGATATTAAAGGGAGAGGATAGGGGTTGGGGAGGCGGGGTTTCAGACAATACACAAAATTTTTAATCTGTTATTGACCCAGGAAATGGACAATGGACAGAAACTAGCGTGTGTGAGTCCCACAGCGTGTGTTTCATAGTACTGTCTCTTTTGGCCCCAACCGCCATGCCAGATGAATGAGTTATACAATATATATAAATGCAGAATAATAGTAGGGAATATTAGTAATAGTAATTACATGGTGCATACATTATATAGTGGTTATATTATGCAATATCAGTAGTAGTAATGTCTTCCTAATGATTGCGTGCCAGGCACAGGGTTAAGTGCTTCATAACTATCTTCTCAGCTCATTGTCACGTTACCTGGGGCGACGCTGTCACTAACCGCCCCCCCCAAAGGTGAGGGAACTGAATCCACCCCTCAAGGTTACACAGCTAGGACATTGCAGAGATACTAATTGAACCCAGGCAGTCTGACCTCAGGGGTCTGAGCCTCCCCACCAAGGAGCAGGAGTTGGGAGACCTTGACATTGACCCAGCGTAGCTCAGACTCCCCGAAAGATCCGTGCTGGTTTTTCAGGACCATCACTTTTGCATGAGTTTTATTTCTTTCATTGCAAAAACCTTACAGACTTTGTAAGGTCAGCGGCCTGGTTTCCACGTTTTCCTTGGGGCTACAAGTTTCAAAGAAAAAAAGAAAGAAATCCCTGCTCAGCTGTAATTAGAGATGGGAATCAAACATACCCCTGAAACTTGCTGTTCTCAGCAAGGTGATTGTCATTCTGAAGCAGGTGCCTTACCCAGAACGGGTATTTATAGAAAATGATATTTATAGAATCGGTGCTGAGCTCACCCATTGTCAAATCTCCGAAAAGAGGTTCCCAGGAACGTTTGAAAAATGCAGGTGGTGAGCCAGTGCCTGAGGGAGCGTAAAACAGAGCTCTCGAATGGTCTCTTTCAGGAACTGAGGTGTTCAGAGAGAACTCCACTCGGATTCCAAAGACCCAGGAAGAAGACACTGGAAACGCGATGCGACCCAGGGTCTTCCCTGCTGGTGAGTAGGACAGTGCTCTAATGGTTAAGGGTTTGGGCAGCCACTCACCCAGATCTGGGCTCTGTCACACCCCTTCCTCAGCCTAAGTTTCCTCTTCCACAAAATGGGTATCACCCACAGAGGGATTCTTTGAGCATCACATGTGGAAAACGCATACGAAAAGATATAACAGCAGCTGGCATTTTATGTACCAGCCGTCACACCTGTTTGCAATCTTAAACTACTTTACTAGAAGTCGCACGCTGCACTGGAGTCCACAGGGAAATATAAACTATATATATATACACAGCTGACCTTTGCACGACATAGCTTTGAACAGTGCAAGTCCACGCGGGTTTTTTACAGCACAGCACCATAAATGTATTTTCCCTTCCTTGTGATTTTCTTAATGTGTTCTTCCCTCCAGCTTACATTAGTGTAAGAATACAGTGTATAATGCTTGTACAAAATGTGTGTTAATTGGCTGTTTATATTCTTAGTAAGGCTTCCAGTCAACAGTCAGCTGTTAGTAGTTAAGATTTTGGGGAGTCAAAAGTTACATGCGGGTTTTCAACTGTGCAGGAGCTCAGCAGCCCTTACCCTGCATTGGTCAAGGGTCAAGTGTATATGTATATATATTCTGTCTCCCTCTCTCTCTCTCTCCATAGAGGTATCAAGTATATAAGCAGGAAGAATTGAATGCAGGGTATTGACTGCACCCGGGGTGAGAGATCTGAGAAGGCAGGCAAGTTGGCAGTGCCCCCAGACAGTAAGCACAGCACAGACTGGCGACCAGCCCTGGGCTGGAGGGTCAAACAGCCCTGAGGCTGGGGTCACCCAAGGAAAGCTGGAGCGCGGAGGAGGCGCAGCTGCTGGAGATTTGCTCCAGAGAGGAGTAGAAATATCAGCCTTTTCTTCCCTTCTACTGTCCAGTCTCTACCAGTGTCTCCCAGTGGCCAGACCCACAGGAGGCCACTGAGCAGGGAGCCTGGGAAGCGCAGCCAGCAGGGAGGCCCCCCTCCCGCCCCCACAGTGACACAGAGCAGGGCAGGGCGAGGGGGAGCGGCAGACCTACCTGATTCTGGAGGAGCCCAGCTGACACAAGGAGGGCTCAGGACCGAGGGGGGCGAGAGGCCTCAGATGCAGCTTATCCCGCATGAGGTCAGCCCTCACGGAGGACGGGAGAACTCCCTCTCCATTCGGCAACTGGTCATCTTGTATATGAACCTCCTGAAAGCAGATCAAAACCAGTAACAGGAGGCCAGAATTGGAGTCAGTATAAAGAAGCTCTTTCTGATGCAGACGGAATGGATTCGTCTGTAAGGTAGTGAGTTCCCCGTCACAGCAAAAGAATCACGAAAGTTAATTCTTGGACTAGTGATTGTTGCTATTCTGAACTAGTTTCTAGTTTTGGCATGTCAGAGACGTTTCAGGGGCTCCTGGGTGGCTCAGTCGGTCGTGCGTCTCACTCTTGATTTCAGCTCAGATGATCATCCCAGGGTCCTGGGACTGAGCTCCATGTCAGGCTCTACACTGAGCCTGGAGCCTGCTTAAGATTCCCGCCTTCCCTCCCCCTTTTTCCGGGTGCGTGGGTGGCTCAGTCGGTTGGGTGTCTGACTTCAGCTCAGGTCATGATCTCATGGCTCGTGGGTTCAAACCCCGTGTCGGGCTCTGTGCTGCCAGCTTGGAGCCTGGCGCCTGGAGCTGCTTCCGATTCTGTGTCTCTCCTTCTCTCTGCCCCTCCGCCGCTCATGCTCTTTCTCTCTCAAAAATAAGCAAACATTAAAAAACTCTTTTTTAAATAAAAAAAATTATCTCTCTCTTCCTCTCTCTTTCCCCCTCCCTCTCTCTGCCCCCTCCCCAACTCACGCTCTCTCTCTAAAAAAAAAAAAATCTTCTAGAAAAAAGACAAGAAAAGAAAGAAGTTTAAGTGACGTAGAGGATCTTGTATCATCAGCTAAATTTTTACACTTTCTGTCTTCTCTCCCCTTAACAGGGGATAAATTCCTCAGAGTCAGAAATGTGTTTGTAGAGCTGCCTGACTTCAGGCAGACACAATATATGAAAATCTTGGGTTTGGGTTTTGTTTAAAACAAACAAGCAGATAAATCTGCCACAGAAGTTTTTTCAAACAGTCATTTGAACATTGAATACTTTCAGGTTCATGGAAGACGCTTTCGGAACCATTTATCTCATGCCGGGGAAGGGAAACGATTACAATGAGGAGGCCCACGGGGGGGGGGGGGAAGAAATTAATGTGGACAAAATGCAAATAAAAAGCCACAACTGTCTGCAATGCACAGTTAGAGCGAGCATCCCTCTGGCTTGAAGCAGCCATCGGAGCGACATGCAGGGAGGAAAGAAATACTGTTCACCTTAATTAACAAAGAACATTCCATTTGGTTCAATGAATATAATACATCAGAAATTAAATATTAAACAGAATTAAAATTAAATACATTTAAAAACTAGTTCCCTGTTTGGACACTTAATAAGCAGAGTAAAAGGAAGACAAAATAGCAGAGAGAAAAAGAAAAAAGAAACTGGAAAGACAGGAAAAAGGGAAGACAGAGAACTTCAGAAAGACAAGGAGCCTTTCTTATCCTAGAAATCAGGACTCCGGTCAATCAGCAAGTTCGATATTCATTCCGTTAGCCTGGACTCCACCCTTCCTGGATTTCATAGAGACAACGTTTTGCCCCTCCTTGTTACCCTCAGGTTCCCACGGAGTATGTAACACTATATTAAGTCAATCAATGACAATAATAAACACAATTACCAGGAACAAGTTTGGGCACAAATACACCCAAGCCTAGATCAGCCTTTAGACCAACAGGTAGGGGAAGGAGTCCACAGGTGCCAGGTTGAACATGCCAATGTGTTTCACAGAAGAAACGAGACCCATCTGCTAATGTAGGGAGTCAATTAAAGTGGGAGTTGGGCAGCCCCTATCAAAATAACACCAGAGTTATTCACAGAGCTAGAACAAATGATCCTAAAAGGTTTATGGAACCAGAAAAGACCCCGAGTAGCCAACGCAATCTTGAAAAAGAAAACCAAAGCTGGAGGCATCACACTCCCGGACTTCGAGACGTACTACAAACCTGTAATCATCAACAGCATGGTGCTGGCACAAAAACAGACACTCAGATCAATGGAACAGAATAGAGAACCCAGAAATGGACCCACAAAAGTATGGCCAACTAATCTTTGACAAAGCAGGAAAGAATATCCAATGGAGTAAAAACAGTCTCTTCAGCAAATGGTGCTGGGAAAACTGGACAGCGACATGCAGAAAAATGAACCTGGATCACTTTCTTACACCATGCACAAAAATAAACTCAAAATGGATGAACGACCTACACGTAAGACCGGAAGCCATAAAAATCTTGGAGGAGAAAGCAGGCAAAAACCTCTTTGACCTCGGCCGCAGCAACTTCTTACTCAACAAGTCTCCAGAGGTAAGGGAAGCCAAAGCAAAAATGAATAATTGGGACCTCCTCAAAATAAAAACCTTCTGCACGGCGAAGGAAACAATCAGCAAAACTAAAAGGCAACCAACAGAATGGGAGAAGATGTTTGCAAATGACATATCAGATAACGGGTTAGTATCCAAAATCTATAAAGACCTTATCAAACTCAACAGGCAAAAAACAAATAATCCAGTGAAGAAATGGGCCAAAGACATGAGTAGACACTTCTCCAAAGAAGACATCCAGATGGCCAACAGACACATGAAATGATGTTCAATGTCACTCATCAGAGAAATACAAATCAAAACCACAAGGAGATACCACCTCACACCGGTCAGAGTGGCTAAAATAAACAACTCAGGCAACAACAGATGTCGGTAAGGATGCAGAGAAAGAGAATCTCTTTTGCGCTGCTGGCGGGAATGCAAACTGGTGCAGCCACTCTGGGAAACAGTATGGAGGTTCCTCAAAAAATTAAAAATAGAACTACCCTACGACCCAGATTGCACAATTAGGTATTTATCCAAGGGATACGGGTGTGCTGTTTCAAAGGGACACATGCACCCCAATGTTTATAGCAGCGCTATCGACAAGAGCCAAAGTTTGGAAAGAGCCCAAATGTCCATTGATGGGTGAATGGATGAAGAAGATGTAGTATTTATAAACAATAAAGTATTATTCAGCAATAAAAAAGTATGAAATCTTGCCATTTGCAACTAAGTGGATGGAACTAGACGGTATTAGACTAAGCGGAATTAGTCAGTCAGAGAAAGACAAATATCATATGACTTCACTTATATGAGGAATTTAAGATACAAAACGGATGAACAAAACGGAAGGGAAGCAAAAAGAATATAAAAACAGGGAGGGGGGAAAAGCGTAAGAGACTCTTAAATATGGAGATTAAACAGAGGGTTACTGGAGGGGTTGTGGGGGGGTGTTAAATGGGTGAGGGGCATTAAGGAATCTCCTCCTGAAATCATTGTTGCACTATATGCTAACTTGGATGTAAATTTAAAAATTAATTTAAAAATTTTTAATGGTAAAAATGCCAAGCTTTAAGTTATGTATTTTTTACCATTATAAAAAAAGCACATTTACTTGTTTTGTAAAGTGTCTAAGATTGAGACATTTAAAATATTTTTAATGTAGATTGAAACACTTAGGGGAATTTAAAATAAATTTTTAAATGCAATTAATTGCAGGGGAGTTTTTAATCCACTGACTTATGAATTGATCATTAATAAAAGAAAGTTGACAAAAATAAAGCAGAAGTTGGCTAAGAGAGTTATCTTAAAAGATAAATGTTTAGGGGCGCCTGGGTGGCTCAGTCGGTTAAGCGTCTGACTTCGGCTCAGGTCATGATCTTGCAGCCCATGGGTTCGAGCCCCGCATCAGCCTCTGTGCTGACAGCTCAGAGCCTGGAGCCTGTTTTGGATTCTGTGTCTCCCTCTCTCTCTGCCCCTCCCCAGCTCGTGCTCTGTCTCTCTCTGTCTCAAAAATAAATAAACGTTAAAAATGAAAAAAAAAAAAAAGACAAATGTTTAAAATGAAAATTTGGGGGTGCCTGGGTGGCTCAGTCAGTCAAGCGTCTTGACTCTTGATTTCAGCTCAGGTCATGATCTCATGGTTCTTGGAATCAAGCCCCACATTGGGGACAGGGAGGAGTGTTCCCGCAGCCTGGGGCGCGGGAGCCTAGGTTGGGGACTGCTAAGGCGTCTCCTTCCTTGACCAGATGGTAGTCTGGCTCCTCTGAGCCCTATTCTTGATGAGGCCTTGACCTCGGCTCTCATCTTCTTTGGCCTGCCAAGCCCAGTTTAGGCAGTGAGTCCTGCTAAGTCAGTTCAGGGAGAATCCCCTGACCCTTGGTATCTGATCAGATTCCTCATCTCCTGCCTTGACATCTTTCAGCGAAAACCCTGGGCTGTCTTCAGTGAGAAACTCCCCACCCAATGGCTCCTCTGAGGAAGTGGTGCTCACCAGCCCACCCCCCATCCAGCTGTAAACCCCCAGCGTCTCTGCCTTATTTAGAGGTGAACTCAGAGCATCCCTCCTATTGCCACGGTCTTAAAGCAAGTCTACCTGCGTCGTTAACGAGTGTCAGAATAATTTCTTTCTTTTTTTATTATTTTTTTAATGTTTATTCATTTTTTGAGAGACAGAGACAGACAGAGCACAAGCAGGGGAGGGGCAGAGAGAGAGGGAGACATAGAATCCGAAGCAGGCTCCAGGCTCTAGCTATCAGCACTGAGACCCATGCGGGGCTCAAACCCACAAACTGCGAGATCATGACCTGAGCCGAAGTCAGTTGCTTAACTGACTGAGCCACTCAGGCATCCCAGAATAATTTCTTAATAGGATGGTGTGGCACGAGCTATGGTGCTGGAAAGGAGCAGCCACTGAGAGAACCTGAGCCCAGAGCAGAGAGTGTGCAGGGAAAGAAATGTCCCAATCTCTCCCTTCTTGCCCTCCAGTCTCCTGATGCCTTCCATTGGCTGAGGCCAACAGGAAGTCCTCAAGGAGGGGGCCCAGGTGATGTCCGTCAGTGTCAAACTTCTGGGATCTGGAGAACTTGGAGAATGGATTGGGGGGGCGGGGATGCAAGTGGGCAATGATCAGCCCACCCTGCTTGCCAATGGGTGGCATAATGGTTGGGGTCAGAATTCTTCTTTCCTTTACAGCGTTAAGAAATCAGTGAGACGCATACAAGAGGAAGGGGCAGGGTCAAAAGGAGGCCATGCCAGCCAGGACAGGACT